GGTAAGTATTCACCTGCTTCAGTTGTGTCTCTGAAATAGCAAGTCACTACCATATATCAACTTACAAAAGAAAGTCTTCAAACTCTTTTGAAAGCCACCTGTACCACCCTAAAAGAATTTTAAAAACCATGTATCCCCCTTGCACATTGTGTACATCTTCTTTGAACATTTTTGTTTGTTGTTTTGGGTTTTGATCAAAACCTTAGAGCTGCGAATTTGACTCATTCAATTTACGGAAAAGTCCCTCTGTATAACCTAATTGGCAGAGACAGTCCTCATTATCAAGTCAATTGGCCCATTCAGTCTGGCTTTCTGTCAAATAATGCCTGTCAAATGGCTTCATTTTTCATTTAATGAAAACTGTTAAGAGTCTTCCCTCTGACAACATCTCTTCTGAATGTTAATAATAATTCTAAGATGGGTGGTAGGTAGTTAAACAGGTGGACGATGAGACTGGGAGATTGTCGTGGAACTGGTCATAGGGGGAGGTGACTCTGTGTTGTTATAAGACTCCCTCAGGAATCTCCAATTGTCTTTCTGTGTGATGCTCCAGGGGCTTTTATACCCTGGGCAATTCATCAGGATAGTTTGGAATAAGTAAAGTGCCAGTTGCTTGACTGACTGCTTCCCACTAGAGGTCCATTAGAATTTTCTCTAAACATACCATATATACCATGACACACTTTTATCCATCAAGTCTCTATTTTCTAGATTCTTAGAAGAGTAAGTTACCGGGGCCGGCCCGTGGCTCACTCGGGAGAGTGCGGTGCTGATAACACCAAGGCCACGGGTTCGGATCCTATATAGGGATGGCCGGTTGGACACTAGCTGAGCGTGGTGCTGACAACACCAAGCCAAGGGTTGAGATCCCCTTACCGATCATCTTTTAAAAAAAAAAAAAAAAGAAGAGTAAGTTACTTTGGTAGGTGATTAGCTTCATCTTAACCGGTTCTGTTGATGTTTATAAGCTACAAGTACAGGAGGATTACACTTGTCAGCTCTGTTCCTGGATGTGGGTGGTCCCTTATGCCTAAGAAAGCTAGATGTGATTAGGATTGTACTATAATAATTGGCATGTAACCCAAAAGAAACTAAAGGTCTACCAGATACTGCTGGTTTAGGTGATGCTGTGGTTTAAGGAAAGGAATGTATTGTATTAACCCAGGAGGAAATCAAACACATAAGAAAGTGTTTTAAAATAGGCTGGCTGGTTAGCTTAGTTGGTTAGAGCATGGTGCTGGTAACACCAAGGTTCAGGGTTCAATCCCTGTACAGGCCAGCCGCAAAATAAAATAAAAATATTGGCAAGATATGTAATTGAACACATTTCCATTGATCCTTGTCTTAGGGGCTGGGCAAGGGAGATTTTAGGATAAATAAGGTGTGGTCTCTTCCCTCACCTAGTTTATTATTTCCTTCCTTCTGCTTACTTTGGCTTTAATTTGTTCTTTTCTGATCTCTTAAGGTGGAATCTGAGGTCACTGATTTGAGACCTTTCTTTTCTAACATAGGTATTTCCTTCTAGATAGCTCTGGCTACATCCCTCAAATTTGGATATATTGCATTTTCTCACCATTCAGAATGCTTTCTAATTTCCCTTTTGATTTCTTCTTTGACACATGGATTCTTTAGAATTGTGTTTCCAAATATTTAGGTATTTTTCAGATATCATTCTGTTATTGATTTCTAATTTAATTCCACTGTGGTCAAAGAACATACTTTCATGAGTTGAATCCTTTTAAAGTTATTGAGACTTGTTTTATGGGCCAGAATATGTTCTGAGTGCACTTGAAAAGAATGTGTGTTCTGTTATTGCTCAGTGGAGGGTTTTACACATGTCATTTAGGTCAAGGTGGTTGATAGTGTTCAAGTCTTCTGTGTCCTTACTGATTTTCTGTCTGCTCATTCAATCAGCTGTTGATGAGACTTTCAGTGTCTAAAAACAGGATTCATTTTCATTAAAGGATTACTTATTTACTTAGGGGTTTTGGCACTGGACTGGCTCTTTAACAACATTAAAGAATTTAGTTGCATGAACTCACAATCATTTTCTGGATAATGATAATAAAATAGCTAATAGTTATTGAGTGCTCCATGTACTACTAAGAGCTTTATATATTATATAAGTTAGTCTTTAACCAACTCTATGAAGTAACAAAACAGTTGTTACTGTCCCCATTTAAGGATATTGAAGCACAGAGGGCAAAAGTAACTTAACCGAGCTCACACAGCTAGTATGCCATAGTCAGGATTTGAACCTGGAGCCTGGCTCCAAAGACCCTACATTTAATCAGCACACAGAACTGCTGCCAGGTAAGTTTGTTCTGTGTATCCAGTGAGAGAGCAACTCATGTAGGCTCCTTCAGCTGTCACAGCAAGCATTAGGAAGCCTTATCTCAGCCGTCTTGCTTTCTCTTCTCGTGTCTTCTTTTTTTGTTGTTGTTTTTGTTGGCTGGCCAGTAAGGGGATCTGAACCCTTGACCTTGGTGTTACAACACACCACTCTATCCAACTGAGCTAGCTGGCTAGCCCTTTGTGTCTTCTTTTTCTTTTTCTTTTTCTTTTTTTTTTCTCTGACCAGTAAGGGGATTGCAGCCCTCAGCACGGTGTTGTCTGCGCCACGCTCAGCCAGTGTGCGCAACGGCCATCCCCATATAGGATCCAAACCCGTGGCCTTGGCACTACCAGCACCGCACTCACCTGAGTGAGCCACGGGGCCTGCCCGTGTCTTCTTTTTAAATAATTGTTTTATTTATATGTGTATGTTGTATTCCTGGGCCATACATGCTCATGGTTCAGTTTCACAAGGTATAAGAGAATATGTAGTGAAAATAAATCTCCTACCTGCCTTTCTCCCCTCAAACCCCCAAGTGCAACCCTCCCTTCAGTTTTAGTATCTATCCAGAGGTCATCTTCATGTATAAAATATCAGAAATAAATGGCAGCATGCTAGTCCCTTTCTTCCTTTTTCTTTTTTCTTTCTTTTTTTTTTAAATAAGATGACCGGTAAGGGGATCTTAACCCCTGATGGTGTTGTCAGCACCACGCTCTCCCAAGTGAGCTAACTGGCCATCCCTACATAGGGATCCGAACCCGTGGCCCTGGTGTTATCAGCACCACACTCTCCCAAGTGAGCCACGGGCTAGCCCTCTCTAGTCCTTTTCTTCTGCACCTTGCTTTTTTCATTTAACAAATTATTTTCAGGTCGTTCTATAATAGTAGGTATACTATAAGAGCTGTCTTATTGGCCGGCCTGTGGCTCACTCGGGAGAGTGCGGTGCTGATAACACTAAGGCCCCGGGTTCGGATCTCACATAGGGATGGCCGGTTCGCTCACTGGGTGAGCGTGGTGCTGACAACACCAAGCCAAGGGTTAAGATCCCCTTACCGGTCATCTTTAAAAAAAAAAAAAAAAGCTGTCTTATTATTTTTAACAGTTGCATAGCATTCCATTATATGGGATACCATCATTTAAGTACCCATTCCCCTTTTAAAAGACTTTAAGGTGTTTTCAGACTTGTACTGTTATAAATGAGGCTGCAAAAAATATCCTCATTTTATATACCTATGATTTACCACATGTACAAATATATCTACAAGATAAATTCCTGCAAGTGGAATTGTTGCATCAAAGGGGTCATGCTTTTGAAGCATTGGTAGCTGTGCCTAAGGACTAAGTTGCTGTTCAGACAGTCTGTACTGATTTTCACCCTCACGGCAGTGTATGAGGGTGTATGTGTCCCCACCTCTCCCCAGCAGAGTTTACCAACTCTTTTCATGCTTGAATTTTAAAAATAATGGTTATATGGGCGCACTCGGTAGAGTGTGGTGCTTGGGAGTGCGGAGGCGCTCCCGCTGAGGGTTCGGATCCCATATAGAGACTGGTCCGCTCACTGGTTGAGTGCTGTGCAAGAGTGTGGTGCTTGGGAGTGCGGAGGCGCTCCCGCTGAGGGTTCGGATCCCATATAGAGACCGGTCCGCTCACTGGTTGAGTGCTGTGCAGGCGCAACACCGAGGGTTGCGATCCTGTTGCCGGTCGCGGTGTGGGCGCGACACTGAGGGTTGCGATCCCGTTACCAGTCACGAAAAAAGACAAAAAGGAAAAAAAAAATAATGGTTATGAACACCATATAAAAGGGTCACCTCTGTGAGGGTTGACAGTAGTTGGTCACTGCATTTATCTGCTCGTAAACTAAGAAACAAATGACCAAACATTCATTCCTTTTTATTCATCATCATTTACTCAGTTCAGCCTACAGACTTAATCTGTGCCTCGTTCTGGGTGCTAGGGGCAGGAGGGTCTGGGACTTGGTTCCTGCCCTCAAGCAGCTCATCAGCTAGAGGGAGATACAGAGAAGAAGTAGCTGTGATATGGTGTGCCTTGTATTATGCACAGGTAGGAGAAAATTGGATGATGAAACAAGGGAAAGTGTTGCTAGATGCCTTAGAAAATGTTGCCCAGGACTCTTGATCATGTTAAACTTAAAGGTGAATGCCATCCCAGAAGCAACCCAGGTGGTAAGTAGTTAGTTGCTCCTGCTGATGAGCCAGCTCAGAGTGGATTCTGTAAGAAGAGCCTCATCTGGAGCCTGCATCTGCACCTCCCCGCAGAACTGCTGGGCTGCATGCAGGAAATCAGCCACCTGCGATTGGAGGGCTGGTGCTGGTTGGGATAATGAACTTGGTAGTGTCGGCAGAGGTGATTGGCCGGGCCCTGCTGCAGTGAGAATGCAGACTGGATGCTCGGGTCCTGGGCTTGGGTGAAGAGCGAGGACTGCTGAATAACTGAGAGCTCCAAGTTGCTTCTGCCTCCGGGAGAGGTCTGTTTGGCGGTTGCTTTTTCCTTTTCTTAAAAAAAGCCAAACATCTGATCACTATCCACCTGCAGAAGTGAATTTTTATTGAGGATGCTCCAGCTCCTTTCTCTCTATTGCCAGCATCCGGAGAGGCTCCCTTAGAGTGAGCTGCTTCTCAGGCCAGGCACGACAGCAGTGCTAGCAAATTTGAAAAAGCAGGAAACAGCCCCTGCATGCAAAGCTTCCAGCCTGAGAACTCCCCAGGCTAGTCTTCCAAGCAGCCGTGTAGCCAGAGACCCTTGATATTGTGGTCACGTCCCTCAAAAGTGAACAGTCAACCATCGGCACTGTTTGGATGAAGATGTTGCAGATGCTGTGGCATTTTCTGTCTAGCTTTTTCCCCAGGGCTGGGTGCCAAGGCTCCAGAGAGGGGAACGATCATGAAGTCAGAGGCACCCAGGCTTCTGCTCGGGGAGACCAGATGCCAAGCTTTTTGGGGAAACAGGACGGAAGGGCTGAGGCCACGGAAAAGAGACCCACCATATTGCTGGTGGTTGGACCAGCAGAGCAGTTTCCTAAGGTAATGCAACCTCAGGAGGACCTCCCAGTTTAGGGGCTGGTCTGATGTCATTTTCCTGAAAAAACTTGGGGTGTGGGAAGAAAGGGAGGACTTATTTTAAAAATCAGTTTGGTATTGGGGGTCAGGAAGAAGTGTTAGGCAATGAAGAGGCTCGTAGATTCAATTCAGAATCTTTCTGTGGCCACTGTAAAAGCTTTATGCCTCATCATGATCACCTTGGTATGGCCATTGAGAGGAGAAATGTTGGATTCAGTAGATTTGCCTTAGGATTTGTCAGTTTGGCTGCAGAAAGCCATTTCAAAGTAAGGGACAAACTATTAGACTGTGTCTTAGCTGATCTGAACAATGCAGGGAGGACGAAGCCGAAAGGGCAAGTGAGCATGCCTTGAAAGATGAACCTAATTGCCTGGAGCTGGGGAAGCAAGTCTTTAGAGGTCGTCGTGAAGGTCACACTCCCCTTGCCTTGGTCAGACCTGCCTTACCTTTGGGTCTGGGAGGTAGAGAGCGGAGGGCTGGGGGTGGGTCCAAGGAGCGGCTGGAGTCATGAGGTGCAGAGGCAGGTGTCCCTCTGGGAATGACCATGGCCACTGCAGGTCTGCCGAGTGCCAGGGCCTTCCATCCCTCCCGATCCCCAATGAGGAGTTATTGCACCAGGTCCTCACCAGAGCCAAGGTAAGTGGCAGTACCCCCATTTCACAGATAAGGAAACTGAAGTGCAGAAAGGTTAAATAATTTGCCTTGATTGCTTAGGGTTAAACAATTAAGGAGAGGTAGAACTGAGATTTATCCCCAAATCTGTCTGGAATTTTGCCCTGCACTGCCTTGCTTTCCCTTAAGAACACAGTTTTTAATGGGATTGAGTGAGTGGTCTGGAGTAGAAAGGAAATTGTGTGTGGCTGAGATTTCTCCTGCCTGCGGTAGGAGTGACCTTGTTCCCTCCTGAGCTTTTCTCTTTTCTCCTTCCTCAGGAGAAAATCGATCAGAGTAGGGAAGGGGATTCTGTCCTATGTTTGGCACATTGTAGATACCCAAAAATGTTTGTTGAATTGAATTACTACATTTAAGAAATAAAAGTTCATTTTGCCTTTGCTAATAGAGAGGGACTTTGGATGCAACAACTTTTGCAGTCGTGTGGGCATTGAGGAGAGTCCTTAGTCTGTGAAGGGCTCTTTCCACTCATCAGGGTCTCACAATCTGTGTTATGCCTGAGATGTGCGTGCTTAATGTGCTTCAAAAGGGTGTCACTTTCTACCTTTTGATGGTTTTAGGCAAGATCAGAAATGGTGGTGGTGCTAGCTTTTGTGAGGAACTTTTATCTACAGACCTGTTTGCCTTGTGGCCTGGATTAGCTGGTTGCCTTTTAAAATCATCTAATTTTGACTGTAATAATTAACTGCTCCATTTCCCTGCCTCACACCGGCACCCTTTGCCAGCTGTCCCCCCAGGGTTTGCCTAGAGGTAGGACTTTCTGTTTGGAACAGCTCAGTTCTTGGCCTGCAGAATCCAGAGACCCACATCTTTTACTAGCTCTGTTTCCCAAAAGTGAGGTGGATCAGCTGGCTGTGTGTAAGGGGAGCCCCAGGAGGGAGACGGAGCAGTTGGGTTGGTTTGAAGCAAGCAAGAAAGTATATCTGGGCAGCGCAGATTTTCTTAAAGCAGATAAGCAAAGAATTGAAATAGTAGGAGCATTTACGCAGCATGTGTCCTTTACCGGCGCATGTGCTCTGAAGGTGTTTGGGGTTTGTGATCACCAGCTGATCGGGCCTGGCCTGGCCATTTCTCTCAGGAAGAGGCCTCTAGAATATTTTGGAAACCATACAGAGAAGTTCATGTTGGTCCTCCGGCTTCCCAGTGTCCCAGAAGCACTACTTTGTTTTACTCTCACTTCCCCTGTTTAAATATGTCTACTAGTGAGTCGGGTTGCTGCAAGCTTTTATTCTAGGAACTGTCCCAGTTTTCCCCTCTATCTTTGTCTTTCAGTTAATCTGCAGTTGGAGAAGAAAGCCATTACTCTGGAATGGGAGGTGCCCTCAGCGGCATTCAAGCTTTCAAATCCTGAGGGGCTGTCTTCTCAGAAGCTCAGAGAATTTTGCTCATTGTGTGTGTAATTGCCAAGTATAGGCAGGTTTCATTGGAAACTGGCTATACTAAGCTGTCATGACAACATGATCATCAAATGACACTGCAGCCACAGAAGCCAATGAGGTTTGAGAGCCTTAAGGGTGGGTGGGGCTTGTAGAGCCGGATGCTGGGAGGCTCCCAAACATATTCATATTTCTGGCTTGGTCTGAGTCATTGCTGAGGATGGGGGAGATACTTTCTGGTGTAATGCTCCACTCCCAAAGCCACTGTACCTATCCTGTTCTTACTCGTGGTATTCTGGCTCTTACAGGAAGCACCTGGTTTTTTTGGCGTGACAGAGTGGTAGGATGAGGAAAGCTTATGGTGGCACTGGCAGATTTGCAGGTGAGAAGTGCTTGTGAGAGCTACTTTACAGATTAAATGAAATCTGATGCCACTAAATTCTAAGGGACCGAGCGTTGCTGTCATTATTTCTGAATACTAGTTATAGGAATGGACATTGGAGAAGAGGAAACAGAAGTAGAACTATGTCACAAAATTAGAATAAATACAAAGAGCAGAGAAGAATCGTGTACAAGGCAGCACATTATGCCCAGATCTTAGCCGTGAGCTGGTGTGATTGTCAGGAATGAAACAGGAGGCCTGCCGTATTTCTTCCTTACTGTATTTCAGAAGCTGTGATAAAGAGGCAGGTTTTTGTTGTTTTTAGCTAAGACTAAACTTGCTCAAGTTACACTTTTCCAGCATGCCTGCCACCTTGCAATCTGAGGCATTGCTTACTGTAATTCTCAGTGTCAGGATTAGATAGTCTTTGGGAACTGAATTCTAGAATCTCCTTTTGGCAGCGTTGGTTTTGAGTGCTGTTTTAAGATGCCTGCCACCTTGCAATCTGAGGCATTGCTTACTGTAATTCTCAGTGTCAGGATTAGATATTCTTTGGGAACTGAATTCTAGAATCTCCTTTTGGCAGCGTTGGTTTTGAGTGCTGTTTTAAATGGATATTGTAACAAGAGCCCAACCCCAGGTGCAAGGCTCAGCCCTCCACCTATAAGCTTTGGGACTTGGGCAAACCGGGTCATTTCTCTAGGCCTGTTTGCTCAACTCAGATTAAGGGGATATCCCCAGGCCCCTCTCGGCCCCACAGCCTACAATTCCAGGGACAGAGTAATTGCCTTAGACACTAGGCACCTAGAGATTGGTTCATTTGCAAAGAATTCCCAGTTTCTGTGTGCAAATGGACTTCTGAATTACCCATGAAACCCAATAGATTAGATAGTTTATTTATTTATTTGACAGCTGGCCAGAACAGGGATCCAAACCCTTGACCTTGGTGTTATAACACCATGCTGTGACTGAGTTACCTGGTCAGCCACTACCCACCACCCTTGCTAAATTTGACTGGGTTTTAAAAAGAAAAAAAATCACAGTAGCAAAATAAAAATAAGTTAGAAACCTTTTTTTTTAAAAGTAATATTGAATATTGAAATAGAGTTGATGTTAGCATTGTAAAATAATGTCTTGACAACCACATGCAGAACATTTCCTGACCCCACAATACTGCTGGTCTGTGTGGACTTAAGAACTTTGTTATAATCAAGGAGATTATAACCTTTTTTTTAGAAAACAATTGCACTTATGTGATAATATTTTAATAATGTCTCCTTGTAATATAGAATATAGTTTTCATTTTTACTTGATATTGTTTTCAAATCTCTTCCCAGATTTGTTTTATAAACATATCATAAAACTCAATGGTACAGTTATGTTAACCAAAATTCTTTGAAAAATATTTTATTAAGAAGTGAACATCTCGGGCCGGCCCATGGCTCACTTGGGAGAGTGCGGTGCTGATAACACCAAGGCCATGGGTTCGGATCCCATATAGGGAGGTCGGTTGCTCACTGGGTGAGCGTGATGCTGACAACACCAAGTCAAGGGTTAAGATCCCCTTACCAGTTATTTTTTTTTAAAAAAAAAAAAGAAAGAAAGAAATATCTCCAATTGAATGACTTATTTACTCAGTCAAAATATTTGATATTTTTAGGGGCCAGCCCATGGCTCACTTGGGAGAGCGTGGTGCTGACAACACCAAGTCAAGGGTTAAGACCCCCTTACCGCTCATCTTTAAAAATATATTTATATATATATTTGATATTTTTTATTGGAATGACTTCAGCCATAACTAAAATGAGATACTTCAGCAGATCTCTGTCACGTAATTTAGTTTCAGAAGCAAACATGAATAATTTAACAAAGGAAGACCAGCATTTTAAGATTTAGCTTTTTTTTTTTTTTTTTTTTTCCTTTTTTGTCTTTTTTTCGTGACCGGTATCGGGATCGCAACCCTCGGTGTCGCGCCCGCACTGATTTTTTATTGGAATGACTTCAGCCATAACTAAAATGAGATACTTCAGCAGATCTCTGTCACTTAATTTAGTTTCAGAAGCAAACATGAATAATTTAACAAAGGAAGACCAGCATTTTAAGATTTAGCTTTTTTTTTTTTTCTTTCCTTTTTTGTCTTTTTTTCGTGACCGGTATCAGGATCGCAACCCTCGGTGTCGCGCCCGCACTGCGCTCAGCCAGTGAGTGGACCGGTCTCTATATGGGATCCGAACCCTCGGCGGGAGCGCCGCCGTACTCCCAAGCGCCGCACTCTACCGAGTGCGCCACTGGGCTGGCCCAAGATTTAGCTTTTATGTATAAATGTGTCTTGGGGTCGTCTGTGTCTTGGGGTCTTAGAGGGTGGCTGAACTGATTCACTCATTTAGAAGCCACCCAAGCGCCGCACTCTACCGAGTGCGCCACCGGGCCGGCCCAAGATTTAGCTTTTATGTATAAATGTGTCTTGGGGTTGTCTGTGTCTTGGGGTCTTAGAGGGTGGCTGAACTGATTCACTCATTTAGAAGCCGCTCAGGAAGCACCTTTTATGATCAAGGCAAGACGTTAGTTTCAGGCAAAGAAGTACAAAGGTTTGAAGCAATAGTCTTCTGCCTTCAAAGACCCTAATACTAGAGATAAGATGTGTGTTAAAATAGCTCCAAAGGGCAGGCCCATGGCTCACTTGGGAGAGTGGTGCTGATGGCACCAGGGCCACGGGTTCGGATCCCTTTATAGGGATGGCTGGTTGGCTTGCTTGGGGGAGCGTGGTGCTGACAACACCAAGTCAGGGGTCGTGATCCCCTTACCGGTCATCTTTTTAAAAAACAACAACAACCACAAAATAGCTCCAAAGCAGAACATTCTGAATTGGGCAGCTTAAGAGGCAGCTGAGTATCATGAGGAGGCTGAACAGGAATCTGCCTGGATAATCCGGAGCTGCCTCCTCGGATCTGCCTGCAGTGGCAGTCCAAGACCTGTTTTTACAGACTCACCATCAGATCCCTTTAGAAGGGCCAACATGTCATATCACTTGTAATCTGTGTTTCATGCTGTTGTACATAAGTATCAATATCTCATCCTAAAATCCTCTTTACAAGTTCTTAACAAAAAGCTTTTTAGTGAATTAAGATGTCCTTTTAATTTTGTTGACCCCAAATGACAGCCATCCATTTTTATCCATGCCAGCAGTGAGAAGATGTAGTCTATATGAGGAAGTGGTTCACTATAGAAGGAACAAGTGGGAGATGGATCTGGTTCTCATCTTGGTGACATGGTCTCTTCCTCCATAGCACGAATCTGTGGGGAGGAAAGAGGTGGAGAGAACGCAGGCTGGTCTGGAGAGGGTCATCCTCAAGTAATGATCACATCTTCCCAGGACCTGAGATTTCCTCTCGTTCGTGCTCACCCAAAAGGGTTGTTTAGCCTGTGATCATGGCATGCCCAGTGACTGCATATGGCTATCAAGTACTTGCAGTGTGGCTATATGACTGAGGAACTGAGTTTTTAGTTTCATTTAATTTAAAATAGTTTAAGATTTAAAAAAAAAAAGCTTCTGTATTGAATAGCAAAGTTCTGGGCTAGAGAGCTACAACTACCCTGAGCTTTTAAGTGTCTGAGCAGAAGTGGGCTTTGAAGACTGGGTCCCCTATGAGGCCCGGCCGACCCAATGGATGCATCTCAGGAGTCCTTGGCATAGAGACCTTTAGACTCGATAGTGTCCTCTCCCACCTCTATCATGGCAGCTCCTTGGTGCTTCTGAGATACCCAGATGAAGCCTACAGGGAAATAGGTTGGTCCCTAGGTGTTCACATTGCAGAGTGGCCTGGGAGAAGTTTCAATGCGCTAGATACACGTGGTCTGTGGAGGGTTCAGGGTCCTCTGGAGCAGGAGCCAGCCAGACCAATCCTGGGAGGCCAGTCGTGGCCAAACCAGCCACATCCAGGCTCAGCCAGCTGGGGCAGCTCCCCAGCAGGACGAACAGGCCCACGGTGAGGTCCACTTTCCTGAGTGGCTGGGGACCCAGCTCTCAGAGTCCCACTGTCACCATTAAACTGGGCCCCTTTCCAGCAGGCATTGATCCAGTCTCTGTACATCCACTGCTTTTCCTGTTGGGAATGATTTACTAAGGGGAGAAAACCTTTGTAATGTGTGACGCTGTATTGTATTTGGGGACCTTGTATGAAAACAGGCTGTAGGCTGTTTGTTTATTTGGAGGGGCTGGCAGCCAGTGGGTGAAGGTTTGTTTGGGCATGGTACCAATACGGGGCAGAGCAGAACCGACGCAGGACAGAACTCCTTCCCCGAAGAGTTAACTGCAGGGAGCAGATGACGTCAGTCCTGATCTTTGCACCTCTCCCCTTGAGCAATCTGGTGCCGCCTTCTAGTCCAGGGTCTATGTTCGTTGGCTGCTGGCAGGACTTAACAGTGGGCGTGTTTCTTTTTCAATTAAGTAAAAAGGCACGGCTTAAGCAGCCAATGACAGCTGAGGCCCAGCATATCTTGCGCACGGTTCCAGGCCAGGCAGCATTTCCATTCTTGACGCTGCCAGAACCTGCTCCAGCGGCAGCTGAGCAGTGCCCGTCAGCATGCTCTGCCTGTGCCTGTATATGCCACTCATCGGAGAGGCCCAGACCGAGTTCCAGTACTTTGAGTCCAAGGGGCTTCCTGCCGAGCTGAAGTCCATCTTCAAGCTCAGTGTCTTTATCCCCTCCCAGGAGTTCTCCACCTACCGCCAGTGGAAGCAGGTCTGTATGGGTGACCATGGGAAGGGAGGGACAGCAGGCATTGAGTGGTGTCAAAGGGTCCCCTTCCAGGAGAAAAGAATGTCTGAAATGTGGGAGGTTTTTTCCCAGCTGTCTTATGGCTGTACCCGGCAAAAGGTCTACGTCATGGGAATGACTGGTTTTCATGTGATCTCCAAGGAAGGCTGGAATTCTAGAAAAGGCACTTGTGGGAGAAAGATCTTGGAAAGGAATCTCCTTTTGCTAAGTGGGGGATTTCCTGAGAAATACAGGGCCAGGAGGCCTGGGGGCAGTCCGGATCCATGGGACTGTTTCTTTGAGCTGGGAGGACAGAGGCCAGGAGCACGTGGGAGGGAAAGACCAAGAGGCTTCTCTTTGGGGGCCCAGGAGCTAGGATCATTGCTGCAGAGTAGAGCTGAACATGCCCCGTGAGGCTGGAGCTGGCAGCAGTGTGTCCTGGGTGGGAAAGGAGGGGACCTTCCCACCTTCTAGACCCTCAGTCATCCCTGTGGAGTGGGAAGGTAGCAGAGATTCTATGCTGTCCCCAGTGCTCATGATGGCAGTGGAGGTCTGACCGGGTGCACTGAAGGGTGATTTGCATATCCTAGGAAGGAGACAGAAAGTAGGCCTAGTGAAGCAAGCACTTTGAGAATATTTTGAAATAGGCTGCAATGAGTACATCCTTGGCTTGTCTGTATCACAGCACCCGCCCCAAAAAGGTGCGTGGATCGCCTCGGTGACAGGAAATGGGTACCAAAGAGCTCTGTGCATAATGTCCGCCTCCTCCCTAAGTGGCATATAGACTCTATTTCCACTCCTGTCAGAAATCTGGAGTGATCACCTTATACGTAATTTGTATCACTATTGGCTGATGCAAATGTCTGCAGGAATTTAACATAACCTCAGATAGCAGAAAAAATATGTGCCAGCATCTGTCCCACATTCCAGCCACACCCCACGTGTTATTCTTCTGATCACAGGGTATCTGTCCAGGCCACCCTCCTCCCAGTGCCTTTAGTAGCTGAGGAGTCACAAAGAGCTCTCAAGTGGTTCAGGGTATAGTCTGAGAGACCACGACTGGAATCCTTTGAGAGCATGATATGCCGATGGTCCATCAATTTCCCACCCCCAAATGGCTTGAGAGACTCTGAAGCCCAGGTTGCTTTGTAGAAAGGGAATGGATTTCCTGCTGAGAGAATCGGGGAACACACGGGGCCTGTAACCATTTTCCTCAGTAGTTCTAGTTTTGGGTTCTAGATTCAGAGTGATGCTGAGTTGGAGTGACTCACAGTTGTCCCCACATTCTTGAGATTAACCTTTAGGGAGGCAGCAGGATCTGTAGGGAGGTGGCTCAGGAGTCCAACAGGCCTGGCTTGAATCCCACCCACCACTTCCCTAGCTGTGTGACCTTGCATGAATACTTAGCTTCTCTGAACTCCTGTTTTCTTCTCTGCAAAATGGGGGAAGTGATAGTACCTACCTCTTGGAGCTGTCTGAGAGGATTCAGTGGGTTGCTAGAGGTAAAGCATTTAGCGTGACCTGTGGCACATGCTAAGTGCTCAGGAAGTGTTGGCTCTTTTGTGGAGAAATTCCAGTTGCTGAGCATCCAAAACCAATTACAGTGCTAAGCAAAGATCATCTCCTAAGGGGAGGTGCAGAGTTTTGGAACCTCACGGCCAAGGAACAGGGTCTCGTAAGGCCTTCTTGGGTCACTAACCTATTACTCAGAGCTGCCCTCATTTCCCATGCCTGGTTCAGAGAGCTCGAGTTGGTTATATCATCTGGCTTCCCTGAGATCAGGAACTGGCAGTGCCTTCAAGCACATGCACAAGAATAGTCGCCCTTGGCTCCTACCCCTCCTCCAGCCTTCAGAGTGCTCTGCCTCTACCTTCATCCTGGCCACCGAATCATTCATGGGCCAGTGCTACTTTTAGGGATAAAAAGAGCAAGCTGCAGAGTTTCTGATGGAATCTGGCTTCCAAGGCCATCCCCACATCTCGGCAGGGAGCACATGGGGCTGAGGTCTGTCCAGGTACAGCGCAGCAGTGGAGCAAGCAGCTGACCCTGGCTGTGCACCAAGCCAGTCTCCAGCACACGTGGAATGTGCAAGCGCTGAGCCACCCTGTTGCCTTATCTGAAGGGCTCCTCCCAGGGGCTCCTTTCTCCTCTTTGCTTGTGAGGGAAGCAAGTTACTTTGGTGCCAGGCAGTACTCAGGGATCCAAGCAGTGGCTCTGGCGTGGGGCTAAATTGACGTGGAGGCTTTGGGAGTAGGACAGAAGTGTCTTAGCTCATCAGGCCCCCCTGCATTCATGGATTAGCACAGCTGTTTCCTGGGGAAGGGGCCCCACAAGGCACACGGAATGGCTGGTGCGTGAGCTAAAACACAAAACCTCACTTTTGTTTTCTAGAAAATCGTACAAGCTGGAGACAAGGACCTCGATGGGCAGCTCGACTTTGAAGAGTTCGTCCATTATCTCCAAGATCACGAGAAGAAGCTGAGGCTGGTGTTTAAGAGTCTAGACAAAAAGAACGATGGTGAGTGTTGCCCGGAGCTTCCCCAACCCTCCAACCCCCAGGTGCCCGCTCCTACTCATGGCCTGTGTTGTGGCAGGACGGATCGATGCTCAGGAGATCGTGCAGTCCCTGCGGGATCTGGGAGTCAAGATATCTGAACATCAGGCAGAAAAGATCCTCAAGAGGTGAGCACTTAGCCAGCCTCTGTGTTTGGTTTAACGAAAGTGTGACAGAAGAAATCCTGTCGGACTGACTGTGGTGCCCATCACCCTACTGACCCCGTTCCTCTGAACTTGGCCCTCTCGTGGCTTGAAAGGATGAATAAGTTACCTGCCCAGTGGCCCCCATCTCACTAGATATTAGGCCCCTCAGGTTGGAAGAACCACAAATCACCTGGGATCATGCCCGTTCAACAGTGGCCCATGTAGAGAAAAGACTAGCTGGGGGGATTTCAAGTAGGTGAAAGGCCAGCAAGGAACACCCCCTCCAGGGTCAGGAAGGGAGAAGGGGCTCTCCACGGCCCTCATTTTGAGGTGGATTTTTCCCCCCAGGCTAGTAACTTGCTCTTAACACTGTAGTCAGATGTGCCGCTCCAAAAGACAGCTCGCTGGTGGGGGGTGATTGCTGGGAAATAGGATGGAATAGCCCGAGGAGCTGCTCTCTTCCTGGCTGAGCCCAAAGGCTGGCTGGGCCTCAGGGACAGCAGCCTCTGGCCTCGGTCCCTGGGGCCGTCCTTGTGCCGCGCTGTGCCCATGTCCTGGTGTGCCTGCTTCACTAGCGCCTGCTCAGAGCACTTATTTGTGTTGTTTCTCCTTTCTCCTCCTCTGCATCTTCCTCTGTCTGTCTGTCAGAATACGAACGGGCCACTTCTGGGGCCCTGTCACCTAGTAAGTATTCGTGTCGCCCTGTGACTGCCTCCCTCCTCAACATCTGTGCCTGATTAGAGCGGGGTTCTCGCGGGCCATTATATTTGCATTTTTGTGGAAGGTGGGGTGTGGAGCCACTTTGCCCATTCCCGTTGGGGGCAGAGACTGTCTGTCAGAATACGAACGGGCCACTTCTGGGGCCCTGTCACCTAGTAAGTATTCGTGTCACCCTGTGACTGCCTCCCTCCTCAACATCTGTGCCTGATTAGAGCGGGGTTCTCACGGGCCATTATATTTGCATTTTTGTGGAAGGTGGGGTGTGGAGCCACTTTGCCCATTCCCGTTGGGGGCAGAGACAGCTTCTGTGTTTCCTTGGTGGCCAGGTCACCTGCCCTGGGCTCACCTGGAGGTGGGAAGTGCAGCTGGTGGATGGGGTGTGTTTGCACGTGGGTGACCGTGCCTCTGTCTTGCAGCATGGATAAAAATGGCACGATGACCATTGACTGGAATGAGTGGCGAGACTACCACCTTCTGCATCCCGTGGAGAACATCCCCGAGATCATCCTCTACTGGAAACATTCCACGGTGAGGCCCACGTCCCGGTCCTGAACACGCTTTCTCCCTCATCCCTTCACAGGGTCCCCTTCACCCAGCATCTGGCATCCCCATGCCAGGAGTGGGGCTGGGGGTTCCTGGCTACCTCCTCAATAGCAAGTCTGTCCCCTCCTCGGCTGGCCCAGCAGAGCTGTCACATGCTCCCTCCATTTCTCACTTGCCGGCCAACCTGAGTGGCCCAATGTTCCCTGGACACAAGGTCCCACTGCCAGGGTGTCCTCCTGTCCCCATATGCTACCTGTTCCTCACGGTCTATTTCAAATATCCCTTCCCCTTAATGCTTCCTGTTCACCCAAAGCCAGTGTGGTCCTTCCTGGGGGCTGGGGGCTACTCTATACAGACCACAGATGCAGAGCTGTTAGGAGTCCCCCACTACCCTATTTCTTGGTACTGTTTCTCTCTGTGGCAAAAGAGGATGTCCCCATGGCCACACACACGCTGCTCTTTCACCCCCATCAGCTGCGGTTCCACATTCAGAAATACAGGTCTATGTTGACCTCCCTGCCAGTGAGCCCCTTCATGTTTGGTTTGTCCCTTTCTACTGGTCCTTGCTGAGCCCCTGATGTGCTGAGCCCCAGTCTTATCCAGCCTGGACTGTCCACTCCGGGAGGGGAAGCCAGAGGTGCTCCTCCTCTGTCTCCTGCGGTGCCAGCCCGCAGCTTGTTG